CGAGCCGCTGACACACTCCCGCCTTCGAAAGGCGGTCGGCCCAGGCCTGCCGGAATGGAACGAGCTACCGCGGCGCGAGAGAGTTGGGCAAGCACCGCGTCTCATGGCGGACAACTCACAGGGATCCTTACATTATACACCTGAACATTGCCTTGTAAATGGTGGGTTCCCTTTATTTTGGTGGAAAAAGCCATGTTTCAAATGGGCAAATGTATCTTTTAAGGAGCCCTGACTCATGATGGGTTGTGGCCTTGACAATCTCGTCAAAAGATCCCCAAAGCGTACCAGGTCTTGAAAAAGGAATTACACTCACTTGAGACTTGCCAACCATTTGAGTCTGACGTCTCTTGGCGCCACTGAGATGTGCAGGGCCAAAGCCACTGTTGACCTGTCAAAAGCCCAGCTGCATGCCGTGGGCAAGACTGGTCACGGTGGCTCTGTAGAATCCCTACTGAATCCATGACTTTCAGGCTTGGGCATTTGTTCTTTAAAACCAACCCCTGGTGCAACCCCGGTCCCATTTGAAGCAAAACCAAGAAACCAAAAGAAGGTCCGTTTGTTTTTGTTTGAAATCGCGGCATGTGAACTTAGGACACCTTTTCCAATGTTGATTTAGAGCCAGAAGAGGAGCCATCAGAAGCTTTTCGCCTCTATCCCACCCTGGCTGTTTCAGAGTCACGATTCATGGCCACTAGGCGGCCCATGGCGCTGTGGCTCTGAATCCGTACCTTCCATTTGCGTGAAAGCGTCCAGGAACAGGTAAAACACATCCAGCAGTGATAGATTCCCTCTATTTTGCTTTTTTTATGTATTCCTTTCAGCAAATGGATGTAGCCCCTATTGGTCGTATTGGTCCTTGACCCCTTAGAGTCATTCTTTGTCATTGGCCACTAGGCTGCAATGGCGAATTTGTTTTTGGCATGGCTCTGAATCTAACCTTTCCTGGTCAGCCTTGAACATCCCAGGGCTCAGCAGTGCGAAGGCCATGCGCCCCAGCTCGTACCCGAGCAGCGCCTGCGCGAAATGTTGTTGTTTTTGTTTTTATGTGTATATATATATATATATGTATATATATATATATTTGTTGTACCCCGTTTTCCCTTGAATTCTGGTGGTCATTGGGGTTCACATGGCTGTGGCCCAATCCCAACCGCTTCCGTGAGCTTGGCAGTGGCCATGGTGTGTAAAATAGTGTCAGTATAGGGTCCTAAATTGTGCGGGGTTCCTTTTGGTTTCTCATTAAACCAAATTGAGAAGGGCTCATGGCCTGACCTCATTTGGATTGATGGACACCAATATTGCGCCTGACACACTTGGATTGACGTGGAAGTTGGGATGAACCATGAATCAGGTTGATGAGCCGAGGCAATCCTAGGCAGAAGCGGACTTTTGAACATATCTCCTGCAAGAGCCAGTTGGCCTTGATCTGCTTGTCTGGGAAGGTCTGCAAGAGCCTGGCAATGGGAGTGCTGGTTATCACGCCGGCTGCACTTCACCTGAGCTGTGGTGGACCCCCTTGAGCCCCAAGAAGCAGCGCCCTTCAGAAAAACCAGAGAGGGCATGCTATTTAGAGACGAAGCCTGTAACTCTAAGCTCATCAGACAGTGCAAGCCGCTCTCCCTTCCGCGCCTATCTTGAAGGACCATAATTGCACGCTCATGCCCTGCGGTTACCGACCTGAGTCATTCCACTCACGTCCTTCGATTGAAAGGGAACGCCAGTAGCCCAGAGCCGTCTTGGCGGTCAACATTTGGAGACATCATATCGCAGCCCGTCAGTGACCCTGGTAGAGAAGCCGTTGTTTCGAGCAAAACATCTTGGTGCAACTACCGGGAAATGAGAACGAAGTGGGAAGCCAAACCTTGGAATTTTTCCAAGACCAACTGACCTCCCAAGATCAGTTTCACCGGGTTCCCGGCCACACTGGCATGGCACGACCTCAGAACCGCCAGGCTGGAGATATCCCGTTCTTCAGGGGAAAAGGGAACACCAAAGGAACACCTGGAAGACATGCGCTTTTTGTTGGCTGGTAAGTCATTGAGACAAACCCAGAAGCTGAAAATGGGAGCTTTTGTCGGTACTGGGCTGGCGGCCTTGCACGGTGGGCAGCACCCTCGTGGGCGGCCAACCCTGGCAGCGGTCCCCGCTGTCCCCCCCACTACCCAGGCCTGCCAGGCAGAGCACCCCAGGCTTGGCGGATTGGAGGCGAAACCATATGGGCTTCCTTGCGCGGGCGGGCTCTTTGTGGGGCGTATCCCGATGGGCCTGACAAAGTAATTATTGCTGTCGGAGGAAGTGAACTCCATTCCCTCTCTTAGAATTCAATCTAACAAAAAAATAGGGAAAACAAAAGAAACAACAACGCTGGAAACGCCTATGTCTGTCGATCTGTATGTCTGTTTGTCTGTCTGTCTCTCTCTGTGTCTCTTTGTCTCTGTCTCTGTCCCCCTCTCTCTCTCTCTCTCTCTCTCCCTGTATCTCTGTATCTCTGCATCTATCTATGCAGCTAGCTAGCTACCTATCTATATATCTATCTGTTTGGCTGTCTGTGTCTGTGTCTGTGTCTGTGTCTGTGTCTGTGTCTGTGTCTGTGTCTGTGTCTGTGTCTGTGTCTGTGTCTGTGTCTGTGTCTGTGTCTGTGTCTGTGTCTTTGTGTGTCTGTCTATTGTCTCGGTATCTACGTGGCTACGTCGCCCTGTGTCCATGTATCTATGTCAAAACATGTACATCTGTGCATCCATGCATATGTGCATGTGTGTATGTAACTGTATGTATGAAACTGTATGTAACCGTACGTAACTGTATGCAACTGTGTGTCTGTCTGTCTGTCTGTCTGTCTGTCTGTCTGTCTGTCTGTCTGTCTGTCTGTCTGTCTGTCTGTCTGTCTGTCTGTCTGTCTGTCTGTCTGTCTGTCTGTCTGTCTGTCTGTCTGTCTGTCTGTCTGTCTGTCTGTCTGTCTGTCTGTCTGTCTGTCTGTCTGTCTGTTTGTCTGTCTGTCTGTCTGTCTGTCTGTCTGTCTGTCATTGTCTGTTTGTCTGTCTCCCTGTCTCTCTCTGTGTCTCTTTGTCTCTGTCCCTCTCTCTCTACCTGTATCTCTGTATCTCTGCATCTATCTGTGCAGCTAGCTAGCTACCTATCTATATATATATATGTCTATCTGTCTGGCTGTGTCTGTGTCTGTGTCTGTGTCTGTGTCTGTGTCTGTGTCTGTGTCTGTGTCTGTGTCTGTGTCTGTGTCTGTGTCTTTGTGTGTCTGTCTATTGTCTCGGTATCTACGTGTCTGCGTCGCCCTGTGTCCATGTATCTATGTCAAAACATGTGCATCTATGCATCCATGCATATGTGCATCTGTGCATGTGTGTACTGCATGTAACTGTATGGAAATGTATGTAAATGCATGTAACTGTATGTATGAAACTGTATGTAACCGTACGTAACTGTATGCAACTGTGTGTCTGTAGGTCTGTAGGTCTGTCTGTCTGTCTGTCTGTCTGTTTGTCTGTCTGTCTGTCTGTCTGTCTCTGTCTCTGTCTCTGTCTGTCTATCTGTCTATCTGTCTATCTGTCTATCTGTCCATCTGTCTATCTGTCTATCTGTCTATCTGTATGTAGGTAGGGAGGTAGGTATGTATGTATGTACCTTGTTTGATTGCTTGTTCTTGTTTGTACGCATGTGTGTGTGTGTCTGTGTGTGTGTGTGTATGTATGCATGCATGCATGCATGTCATGTATGTACCCTACGCAGGTACTTACATATACATGTGTATGTATGCCTGCTTGCATAAAACCTCTAAATTAACTGTTTGCTTGGCACACGTGGCTTGTTTGGCTTTCTCAAGTTCTTGTTTGTTTGTTTGTTTGTCAAACCTGTCTTCAATTGTTTGGCTTTCTCAAGTTGTTTGTATGCGTTTCAACCAGTGTTGTTAGTTGTTACTTGTTGGCGAGCATGCGAGTACCGCAACACGCCCGAGCTGTTTGGGATTGTGTGCCGGTTCCGTTCAAAACACGCTAAACAAAAAAAACAAATACAACAAGCAACAAAACTCGGGAACACCAACATGTTTTGTCAAAACCAACATGTGTTTGTGTTGCTGCCCGGTGTGTTTACTTTTGTTGAAAGCGCAATTCCGTGTTTTTGACTGTCAGCCTGTCAGCTGGCAAACTGCATGAAATGATTGTGGTGTTTTGTTATGCATGCTAGAACAAGCTTACAAAAATAAGAAATCACTGAGGGCTGAGGGTTTTCAGCTTAGTGTTGAACGCTAACATGAAACGCAGTACGTTTGAACCACGTAGGAGTGGCCAGGTTTGGACTTTGATATGTAGAACTCAGAAACCGCCTTGAATTACGGATTCTGAGCACAAAATGTGTGGGAAACGTGGCGACAAACCCGGGTTCAACATAAGATTGCAGGAATTGTATAAGTTCATGGGGGTTGGTGTGCACCTCAAAAGAAAAGCATATGAGAAATATATACGTCAAAGCAAAAGTATCAACAACATATGCATAGTTGTTATGTACAACTATGATCATTCTTACTTTTGTAACATATTTCTATATATTTCTATCATGATTCGTATTATCAACATGTATGTATACACATATGTACATGCCAGACATCCAAAAAGCAGTACCTGCCTACTGCTCATGTGGCAAATGTGTGAGCCAATCCCTAGATATCCCGGGTCTCTCGCTGCACCTCATCGATCCAAAGCTCTGGGCACAGCGGAAGATCTAGAGGCCGGTCTTCCCAGCGACCTCAGAGCCAGCTCAGTGGCCTCCCTTTGGTACCTACAAACATTTGCCTAAAGCACTGGTAGCTTGAACAAACCAAGATGGTTTTGCGTGGCAAGAACATGATTGTGACAAAATGGTTGCTATGATGTGATCAAGTGTTCCGCCGAGGTTCATCCAATGAACTGCGAGACCAGCCCATGGGACTCTCAAACTGTTTGCTTTGCATGTCTGCGCAAGGGCCCCGGCCCGAAGATTCATGATGACTATCCTCGGCAGAGAAGCTAAGGCCGCATCTCGCGTCTCGCGTCTTGGGCGAATCGCAAGTCGGAGCATAGCTCTGGAAAAACTGACTTAATTACTGAATTCCCCAAGAGGACATGGTCCAATTGGGGCCGGCTGATTTTTTTGGGAAACTCGGTTGGGCCTCCATATCCTTCCCAAATTAACAGCAAAGTCTTGACGCTAACAAACCCTCCAAAGGTTGGTGGACATTACTCCCCCTGTAAAGTATGTTCACCAATGAGTCCCGACTTGAATTCATTTGATTCATACCCATGTTCAGGAAGAACCACTAGAGAAAAAAAACGACGGAACCCACACGCTAGTGAATGTGTGTATGCGTGAGTGTGTGACCTTTTGGCTGCCGCCCCGCAGCCAAAAAAACCTTCGCCAAAAACCTCGCTGCACTGGCGTTCTGAGGTTCTGAGCCCCATACCTGTAAGGCAAAGCCCAGAACGTGGCACACCTGTCGGCTGACCATTGGACCATGCGTGTGGAAAGTCCCCCCTCGCGATGCCAAAGTGGACAGTGGGCCACGGGGAACCGGAGTTGGTGCTTTGAACATCTTGCAAGCAATCACAGAAAGTGGCGATGAAACCCAATTGCCTACAATCGGGATTGTTGCTCGCTCTTGTCAACATGGACTTTGACGAAATGAGACGTAAATACTCAAGCCTATGAGCGTGACTCATTGCTGAAAAGTGATTGGTTGCACCAATGTGACAATGGAACTAAATAATTATGGCTACATGATTTCTCTCTCCACCTGGCATATCCACATTAGCATGTTCAACGCAAGCAGTACGGTGCTCTAGCCATTCTTCAAACCAATTCAATGCTTGCCTGTCAGAAGCCGAGGGAGTTGAATTCAGGCCTCGTGCTGCATATCCCGCAGCTTCCGGTGGGGTGTGGGCTCATCCTGTACCAGCACCACCTTGGGTTGCAAGGGGATGATTCCAAAATCTACGATCAGGTGCTGTCTGACATGCCCATACCCCCGAAGGCAAAGAAGAAAAGGATGGTCTGAGGCTCAGGACTTCTGACTATCTTGGCCAAGGCAAGTCACACTCAGTGCAGTGCAGGGTCCAATTCGCAAACTCATACATCCCAATGCAATTCCAAGTGGATGGCTCAATACTGGCTCAATGTGGCCTGAGATGAAAACAGCTGCTTCCCTGCCTGCACATTGTGGGTGTTTTTTTGTGCCCCCTCCTCTCTCTATGTCTCTCTCTCTCTCTCTCCCTATGTTTCCAATCTCATTCCTTGTGCTTTGAGGTCTAGCCAGGCGCCAGTGCAGGGCGCGAATGGAACCTCCTAACGCACGCGACTCACTCGTTTTCAGCCCCAAAGGACCCGCAGCTGGTCGCATCCCGGAGGCTTGCTGCCGGATGTGCTTGGTCCATTGGTTCACTTGCTTTTGGATGAAAACCGTGGCCGTCCATGAGTCAAATCCCGGGTGGCTGTGCTCTCTGGATCTAAGATACCTGACTCGTCCATGTCCATTCATCAAGTCCCTCCGCGTAGTCGCCAAAGAATTCCTCGGCTCGTCCAGATCCTGCTATGACTGCAAAGAGACAATAATGTAAAGCTTAAAGCAAAGGAAGCTCCAACGTGACTTCGGTGCTCCCTTTGGATTTCATTATTAAAGCAAGCACGAAAAGGTCACCTCAACACACACAAGAACACGCCCACAGCAAATAACAGGGACAAAAAGGGTTCGCGGCGCGCATGCTCGATTCAACCTGCAAACAGTTCGACACCAGCACCCCCATGTTTGTGTCTGCCGAGAGTGCAGTGCATCACGTGTTCAACGGCTCCAGGCTTGTGAAGCAAGAAGTGCAGTGCATCCAACTTCAGGCAAAATCCACACCAGAAAACGAGACTTGGCCGCCAAATAAAAGCAAGGGGACCCTGTTTGTCCAACCCCAAACCTATTTTGGACCTTCACGTTCCCATTTGGTGTATGGGCCAAACAGGCAGGTTGGTGGAAACCAGGGTCCCCAAAGGTACACTTCAAGGCCCCAGCGAGGAGACATGGAGGTCTGGCCTGAGTGAGCAGAGCTGAGAGATGATCCAAGCTCCAACTGGTCCCTCCACCTATCTCCGACCATTCTCCAAATTGATCTGCTTTCGGGTTTATACTAAGAGGCTCCATGCACATGCTTGACTGTGCGACATGGGAGTTCGGGGGTGGGGCGGGGGTGGTGGGGTGGGGCCGGCATCTGTGCTTCCCTACTGGCATGATGCTATCAGCATGCCTTCGCTTTCCATCTCTTCGCCGGGAAAGCCGAATGTCTCAATCATCAGCAGAATTCTACGCTTAGATATGGGGTTGTCTTCTTTTGAAGGTGCCCCTGTGTTGCTTGGTTTTAAAGGTAAACCAACAGAAAGCCACAAACTTGTGGGGTACCCTCAACAAAACGACAGACCAATAGATCGCTCCCACAGGGAAGGCCACCCCCTCCACAGCTCGGCCCGCCGGCAGCCGAGAGGTCAAAGGCTCTGCCAGGTGCTTGGAGAATTTGTGCAGCCAATGCGGCAGCTCCTGGGATGGAACCAAGGGGTGACCCAACTGGGTACCCTCAGAAACAGGAAAACCCGCAGTTTGGCGGTGGAGTTGGTACCCATTTTGGGGGTGTCTTGAATAGACACCAAAGGGAGCGGGCCCCTTTATTTAGAGACATGGTTGAGCGAAACACGCCTTTCTGTGATCATCCTTATGACACCTTTGTCACTTGAAACCCGTGTCCGACAACCGTGTTTGGAGACAAACCCTGATGGATTTAACATGAGCATCAATTGGTTGGACCTTTTGATAAACATCACTAAATGGGATTATATGTCCGCCAATTGTCTGTGACGGTATTTGCATAAAATTCATATCCACATCAGCTTCGAACCATTCGCACATGGGGACGCTTCTGAAAAGAACTGAAAGCCTGATCATGCACTACATGAGGTCAGTGACAACACTTGCTGAGCACGTTGACCCACAACATCTTATGAAGCTCCATGAATCTGCAAGTCAAGAAAATTGCTCATCCCCGAGCTGTATTTGCAAGAGACCAAACACCCTGTATATCTACTGACAGCACCCTGTCTAAAGGAACAGCTAGGACGTTGGCGCTGCGCCAACCCTGTATCCCCTTTACACTGGGGTCACCAACCTATGTATGGGATACGTGGTATGTAAGCGTATTGGCGTCACGCACGGAAACCCACGCATACATTGACCGTGAGAGCCACTGTACATTCGCCACATTGGCCAGCTTCTCGAAACTTCTGTCCTACGTTTGTCAAGGGCCCCCAGTTGCCAATGGACACCCCTGAAAAAGGTACTTTTGTTGGGCGCCTAACAGGGCCCTCAGATTGGTGGCCCTTTTGGGGTGAACCTTTGACAGATCTAGACATAGACCGCCCCTCTGCGATGCAAAACGAGCACACACACACACAGAGAGCTACAAGGCAAAGGTATCATGAGGAACACGGAGTGCATACAAATAGGACCAAAACTATGTTTCGAACACGTTTATGCTCAGTCACCGTTTGTCATGATTGCCCAGCTGAACATCAACTCGCAAAGCCAAAGTCAAACCTGTGCAATTCGAGGATACTGAGGGATGTTCCGACCATTAACAGGTGTGGTCGTTTTCATATCATGCCTAAAAGCAGCGCCGTTAAAAGGAATGTTGAACTGGCCTAAAAGGACAAACCAAACGACAGCTCGCTCCTTGTCAAAGGCTTTGAGGGCACTTTCTTGCAACACCTCCTCCGGGCTGCCTTCCAGTGCGTGACCTGCACGCTCCGTGCAACCCGCGCGGCGCAGCCCACACGAAACGTAAGTGAACGGGACAGAATGTGAGTTTTGCCGGTGCTTCTATCGCAGGCGGGAAATGACCATAGGCGGTGACCTTTTGGCTACCTCGGTGGGTTCCCTTGGTAAATGGAATAAATCCAATCTGAACCAATCTGAAACAACCTATTTCTGACCAAACTAACCTAAAAAGCACCCGTGTTGTTACCGCTCGCCTCGGCTGAAGCCCCACTCCCGGTCCTGGCTCGGCTTTTTCGCGACTTTATGGAATCAACGGGCTCCTGAAAGGGAAACTCAGCCCGCTAGGCTTGGGGGTTAAAGACTTGGAGATACTTGGAGGTTCAAAGGCTCTGATGCCAATGGGTTGAATGGAACAAACCCATTTTGCCACTGACCGCGATCGAAACCCGGCGTGTAACTGACAATTGTCTGCCGAAGTAAGCACTCTGCTTGAATACTCTAACTGGTGCTAAGCCGCACCAAAAAATTGGTCCAGGCAGGTTGCATACAAATGAGGGAGCAGAGGGGGGGGGTTCATGGTCGAGCACGTTTAACAAACTTCTCTGATGGTAATCGTACATCTTTTGTGAGCTTCGCACTCAATGTTTCTAACAAGTTGCTCGTCGCTGTCTGACGAAAACGGTGCCTAGCACTTTCTCACTTTGTTCCTGTGCCATTCCCTTGTGTCAGCTGAAGCAAAAAGTAGCTACTGAATCAAGCTTGGTAACGTGGCATTCAAATACGAGCACAGCATCTCAGCTAATTCTGCAAGGCACGTCATGATCTCGGCGCGGCCCCTGGGCGTCTCCATCCTTCGCACTGGCGGGGTCAAACTTGACTTTTGGAACGAGAGCCAGTGGGTCCGGAGCTTTGTATACCCTAAGTCCCCCAGAGAAAGAACCCTGAATTCAGCCAATTCGCGAAGTGCAAACTGATCTTGAGGGAAGGCTCGCCAGCCGAGCGCTTGTTTGTGCCGGGCAAATCCATTCAGTGGATGACAGTAGGATGGCACAATTTCCCTGCTTTCACCCTGGTGTAAGTAGTCATGTTGAAAACATCCGGAACCAAAGTCGTTTGACACGAGGTCAACTCGTGATGGTCGCGGTAAAATCTGGTCGTGTCTCATGCATCACCAGCTTGGTTCCATGTGCTCCTCAAGCAACACCCTGTCCTGCCAACCGACATCGGCCTGGCAAAATCACCCAACTTCAGCTTGCCTGACCCTGGCTCTGTGGTTGTCATCACGACCCGCTACCCCGGGGGAAAATGGAATAAACAGGCCATCAAGAAGCCACCGTATAGGGTACACACCCGTGTTTGCTTTTGCCCCTTGGAATCACGACTCTTTGCCCGACCTTCAAAATGCATTTCTGAAGCTGGCCACACAAGTTCGATTAGTCCTCACATGGTTGTCCCTGCAACTCGAGCTGAATACGTGAGCATGCCAGATTCAAGCCTTGCTGGCCCAAGAGTAAGGGAATGAGGATAGCAGCTCCCATACATGTCTAATGAGCCTAATGACTAACGCTCCAGTCACTCACCTTGCGCATCCCCGTTGCAAGAGTAGCTTCCGTTGTCCGTAATACTGTTGGAACACTTCAGCTGGGACAAGGTGCAGCAGTGTCTTACCTGAATTGCAGAAGTCCACAATGCAACTTAGCTGGTTGTCTTCGGAGTCGCTTCTCATCCTATGAAGCTCAGCATTGGCGCTGCCAAGAAGGACATGCTTCACAGTCGCATGGCTTGCAAGCAGCTTGCAGCTTGCAGCACTTTTCTTGGAATGCAAACGGTCAAACAGCGTTTGCATAACTGTCGATTGGACAGTCAGTCATTCGGAGACCACTGTCCGTATTCCTCCCCCTTGGGGAACACGACTTAGAAACTGAGCTCGGCAAAACGCTTCACAGACCTTCCTGTACACTGTACCAGAGCCCAAAAAAGCAACGCAGGGACTCGGACATGAAGTCAGGCGCGCTTGGAGCGGGAAATGGCAGGCCTACATGTGCTCAAGCCACACACACACACACCTGGACAAAAAAGGGGGGAACGACATGCGTTGGGTCTTGCAGCTTCGCTGATCCCTGCACGCTCCAGAGACGACAAGAGACAATGAATCCACGTGCAACCGCCAGACGCGGTGGAACTCGCTCGAGGCCACTGGCCTTCAAGCTAGCGCCAGGCGCTCACTGCGCCCGCGATACCTGACCTTCAACAAGTCGCCCGTGGGGTAAACAACCCGGTCCTTGCACTGAGACCTATGGCAACGAACATGTTTTGCTTAAGTTTTATTTGTGGCTCGTTCTTCTTTGACCCATGGCCAAGGGAACTTTCACCTGCGAATACTACAGGTGAAGGAAATGGAAATGGGGCACTGAGAACAATGCCTTCCCCAGAACAGCTGCTCTGTGCCTGTCCTCTCCTGTGTTAGCCGCTGAGGAATCACGATGGCTGCAACCAAACCGACAGCTGCAGTAGATTCATGAGCTGAACAAAACCCAGCACTCTTGGCTAAGAAAGTCAGGAAAAGCCGGCATAACAGGTAAGAGGTCAATTCTCAAACATGGGTCGAAGTGTTCTGGGCAAGTTACGGTCGACCGTTCGCCGCAACTTGCCCAGAATAAAAAATCACTCCATGAAAGTAGGCGATGATCACGCCTCACTGTCCGAGAAAATATGTGTGGTAGCCTCGCAAGCACAGTGTGCGATGGAAGCAGAAAGGCGAGGCCACATGTTCGCACATGCCGATTGGCTCTAAGACCTACACATGTAGGGCATGTCTGTCAACGCTGTCTGAAAATCGCGGCGCCGCATTGGAGCTGCGCTTGTCTTCCTTTGCGCATGCTACTTTCCAACTGATCTGGACTTTGCAATAATTCAGGGAGTGACCCCTCGTGCCTGTTCCCCTAATGAACCCTGGTGCTTCAGTCTAAGCATCAACAGGAGTCAACTGGGTCATATGTCCTACCTGCAAGATCCTACATTTTCCCAAGCAGAACCTTATCAATCTTACCCAAAAGGTTGATTCCCTATTGTGTTCATGTTTCAAATCCTTTGTTTCGAGCCCGGTGATCAGTCACGAAAAGGATCCTTTTTGGAATGGAGAGATCCTTGGGGTCACGACCCCTCCAATGCAGACCCCGGGCGCTACGGAGTACCCCAACCCTTCAAGAGGCAATCGAAAACGCTCGAGGTTCAGACAACTCCAACAACGTAAGGCCAACTTTATATAAGTTCATGTTTATACATTGATTGGTATGAACCCCCTTCCACAGTCGGGACCCACCGGGAATGGACAATTCGACGTCCAAGTCGCCGCGCAAACAGCCTGCCGAAGGCGAGCAGGAGCCGAACCCCGCGGACGTGACCTCCGTCTCTGCACCAAAGCCTCCGAGATGCGAAGCTTCGTGCGTGGCCCGCGTCAGCTGGATTGCAAGGAACGACTTACTCTTGTTCCGTGTCCCTTTTGGGTGTGTTAGACCGGCTTCCCAACAAATGCTGAGGTGAGTGATTTATGGTACCCCTCCTGGAATACTCAGGATTTTGCCGAACCGTTGTCATGTGTGCGAACAAATGAATGCGAAATGCACTTCTCAGCTTCTAAACATGATGCTCAAAACATGCACTCTTTTTGGGACCTAAATTATAGCATCAGTACTTAGTGCAATCCAGGATGTGCTAGCACGTGCTAGCATGTCCTGGATTGAAGATTGAAGATTATCTGACAACTCCTGCTGAGATTCTTCAATTCTATACCTCGGGGAATCCCGAGTGTGCCAGCACGTGCTGGCACATCGTGGATTGAAGATTGAAGATTATCATCCGGCAACTCGTTCTGGGATGCTTCAATCTTCAATCTTCAATCCAGGATGTATCAGTTTGACCTAAGTATGGATTTGAAAAGTGGTCTGACAATCTTCAATCTTCAATGTTCAATCCAGGATGTGCTAGCACGTGCAGGCACATCTTGGATTGCCCTAAGTACATCTGTGAAAGAATCCCAGAAAGAGTTGTCAAAGAACCTTCAATCCTCAATCGTCAATTCAGGATGTGAAAGCAGATCCTGGATTGCCCAAGTACGGACTCTGAAAAGGCGGACAAGCAAAGCACGTTCCAAGAGTCAAATTGTGGATGCGCACCGCCTGTATTTTGCCAATAAGGAAACATGTGTTTGACAAACGTTACAGCTTTTGTTGGACTTGCGGGCTGGCCAGATGTTCAATCTTCAATGCAGGTGGGAAAACCTTAAAGAGTCTAGGAAAAAAAAAACTGTCAATATTTTGTGTGGGCCAGCGTTGAGGATATTCTAAAACGATGTGTGTGGAGTCTTGAATAGTTGGCCTTCCATCCAGGGCAACATGATCTAGCCGAATGCTGAAAACACCGTGTTTTACAGCATTTTATGCCAATAATAAGATCTATGTTTGAAAACACTTTGATGTTATTGGTTTGGCTCAGTTCTTGCTTGGTTAAAACCACATGAAGTTAGATACGGACAATAACCCTTATGAAATTTATATGGGTCCCAGTGTTAATTGGCCATAGCCGTGTTCTCCAATTGACTTTTGAAACGCGCAAGAAACTGCAACCGGTCAAGCTTGAATTTGGCTTGAACTCGAAATCATCTTAACTTTCAAAAATTTTCCTATACTTGAATCTCAACAGTTGTTCTTGACAGTGGTTGAATCGTATTAGACAAGGAACGCACAACTGAGATAGCTGCTTTGCAAGGTTGCTTTAAATACACTTAAATAGTTGGAATGTATAGGAATTATGTACAAAGAACTATCCATCTTGTAAATGCAACTGCGCAAGGGCATAAAGCACTTTCATGCTTGATTTGGATGTCAGTTGCAAGTGGGATTGAGCTCCTTTCCCCCAAGTGGATGATTTGCCGAGTTTCCTTGAAAAACAGAAATCATAAAACCAAACAGCTGTTACAGGCACGATGAAGCTGCCAAAACATGCTGCCCTTAATACTCTTGCGCTGAAAGTTGTGCATCTTAAGCTGGGGCTGCCAACGTGCACTTCGCAGACTCCAACGTGACTTCGAGCTGTTTAACTAGGAGTTCTTTTTGAACTTTGAACTTAACTTCTGCTTGGTTTGACTTTGCATGGAGTTGCATGTCCTGTCTGCTCAGTTCAGAGTCCCCCTAATCTGGCCAAAAACTTGAGTTCTGGACGAAACCCTGACTATTTCACGGGGAGGGGGGGGGGGGGTAGCATATATATATATATATACATATATATATACATATATATATATATATATACACTTAGATATGGAGCTTGTATGCCACTTACAGCACTTGCAGAGGAGGTAACTGCGTGCTGCCCTTGCACACTGGTGTTTGTGTTCAGCCATGCATCCATCATCCCCTTCAGAAAGGTGGTGCCCACTCAAGTCAGCCGACATTGCAAACCCAAACTGGCCATTTAGTGTGACTTTAAGATGTCACTTTAATGAAAGAACACCAAATAGAAACCAACCAGTTTGAATGCAATCTTAATGCTTGCCAGCTCAACTAGGAAGAAATGTGTGTTCATTTTGTGGGCTTCAGCGCAGTACACCGAGGGTGCGATGCACGTGTGTTTCACTGGCCTGCGCAAGTGGTTTGTTAAAGGGTGGCGAAAAAAACCATTTCACAGGTCGCATGACTCCATGACGCCATGATTGGCTCACACTGCGCAATCAGTTCAGGTCATACTGCTCTGCCGCATGCCGTAGGCCCATTCACGTGGCACGCTCAAAATTACCAAAGTAGCGACGCAACAACTCATGCTGACTTTGTGGACCACAGGACCTCACTGTGTGACATCCCATTCTATGTCCTTAACCGCCCCTGCGCCAGATTGAGTGACTAATCAGAAAAGGGGTTCTCTATTCTGGGGTGTCGCCCTTGGGTCTGAACCTCTTGAAGGGTCCAGCCAGGGCTCAGCACGCAAACGGCCCAAACCTCTCAAAGACCTAATCAAACCGGATGGAGGCTTCACCGTTTTAGCCGCCCTTTTTTAGCCTCTTCTAGATATGGCGGGGAATGGGGGAAGTGCTGTCATAGATGTGGGGCAACAGACTTGGAGCCTCGACCTACGTATGCTCACTTTCAAATATGGCTACAATTACAGTAGCCTACTTACAAAGTAATTTGAACATCCAAGTGGACCCCACATTGGAGACAACATAGCAACCACATCGCCTGAAGGCTCAGGCCGTCGCTGCCGCTTGATACTCTGCTTGCCCTCGGATCCCGCATGCATTCGAGATCTGCTTGGGCCAATCACTCCTTTGCAAATTCACATGGAACCCAAACAGCCCCCCCCCCCAAAAGAGTTTCCTCTACCCATCTGTTGATCTGCTTTGGGATCCATGTCCATCTGCAGGGGAGTATTGCTCCCGGCCTGGACCAATCACTCAGTTCAGCCACCAGCAGCAAGGACTCTCTAAGGTAATTGATGAGTTAAGGAAACTGTACACAACATTGTGCTTGACTTCTTGGCTAAAGGAAAAACAGTTACATTCATGAATAAGCTCGTTGCTTGTATAAGAGGAGGATAACAGGCCTCACTGGTGTCACATCGGCAACTAATTGCGGTGCTCATTCCGAGTTTGCCTGCAACAAATAGCATCTTGAATTCCTTTCTGGGGACCTTGCGGCGGATCCTCAAATACTGTTGTTCTTTTGCGCTGTGGCGCCTGAACACAAAAGTTTTAATCATTCCATGGGTCTAGCCTAGTGAGCAACAACATCCCTCACATATCTCAGCCGCCGCCCAGATTCTGGACAAGTTGCTTGAAGTGTGTGACTATCAACTCAGGAATTGACTCCAAGGACGTGCTCGTGGAGGAGGCCCCCAGTGCGCATCTGTTCTTCCTGCAAGGCTTCAGGCGTTTCAAAACACCTGCAGCCGGACTCCAAAGTAAATTGGTCCACAAGACTTGCGAGAATCTCGCGAGTAGACTGTGCGGAAGTGCGAGTGGGACGGGCAAGTGAGCGGGCAAGTGGAAGAGTGGGCAAAATGATGGAACACTTGCGCACTCCACTCACACACACACACTTTTGGCTCGAGCAGAAAGAATACATCTGTAGACCTTATTTTGGGCATGCATTTGAAAGTAGTTGAGCCAACATGAAGGTTTAACAAAAAGATCTAGTTTCATTTCAGTCAGAGTGAAACGTCTGCGAGTCGTTCAAATTACTCGCTCACCCGTCCGCCCACTCGCCTGTCTCATACGATCCGCACAGTCTCGCACAATCGCGCGCCTTACTCGCAGACTACACTTGTGCGCTCTTCAAAACACCACTCGTTCACAAATTTACAAAGTTGCCTTAACACCCATCTTACAGCTTGTTGGATCTAGCTAACACGATTCCATGAAATTGCTTCAAAGGGGACCCCCACCATGGCTCAAAATGGGGAGGGGGGGGGGTCTCCCTTTGAATTTCATTCAAACTTTACAAGAAGCACACACACACAAACAAAAACAGGACAGCGGACCCTGGAGTGCGCGTTTTGCGCATTTTGAGGCTTGCAGTCTTCCCAGGTCAGCCATGTCAGTTGCCCTTGATCTAACACATACAGAGGAAACAGCTTGAGAAAAGAAGAAGAACAAAAACTGGAGGAATTTTAACAGAACAAAAAAAGAGAGGGCCAACAAACGTGGACAAACACATGGTTTAGAAACTCTTTGGTGCACAACCAATGTTGAAAGAATTCTGGAAACATGTCTTTTGCTTCTCCTTTTTGGTTTCTCGAGGTGTTTATGTTTGTTTGGCCTCCTCGATGTGTTCTGTTTTTCATTGGGCGAGGTTCTCTCGAGTTCTTTTGGTTTTCCGGCGCTCTCGAGTTTGGTCTGGTTTTTTGTGTCTATGACAGGCCTAAAGCTGTTCTCGGGTTTGCTTTCTGCTGTCTAGGCAAACTGGAAGACATTACCAGCTTGTTTGTCTTTCCTTATTACATTGCATTCATGTCCAATTGAATTCTACTTGAAGCCCTACTTGCAAAGGAACTCCAATTTCAAATAAATTTCAGAAGACAAACTCCAATTAGTTCCTCTGTCGCATCCAATTCAGTGTACGAAGTCTATGTGAATTAAGTGGAAGAAACGACCAGCTTGTCTGTCCTTATCAGATTATATTTACATGTTGCTTAAATCCAATCAACATGGTAGAGACTTGGACATCAATTCCTTTAAACAATATGATTCAAACATGTAATGGAATGACTCAAAGCAAACAACCAGCTTGTATGTTCTTACTAGATGCTAGTTACATGATTTTAACATGCTAATTTAGTTTTGGAAAGGAGTTGCTGCTTAGACTTGGACAGACAATCGGTTTAAGGTATGATTCAACATATGAGTTACAATCCAATCTAATTGAACTCCTGCGTGCAAACATCAATTCCGATTTGGGGTTCTAATTAAACTATAGTTGAAATCATACTTGGAAGGAACGTACTATGTAACATCTAAATCAAACTGAAAACGTGAAGTGAATTCCAAAATCCCATTTAAACTGAAAGCAAGATAAATCTAAAACTTGCAATCCAATTAAATAGTATAAATTCGTTTTTCATGGGCTTTTACTGGTTGTTCACTCCAGTTGAGGGGCTTGAACATTAGAAGAAACGCCAAGCTTGTTTCTCCTTATTGGTGTCTATACAAAACCAAACATTGAATCCGACTTGGGCAGGGCGCCACATGTTAATAATAAGTCAAGTTACGAATTTACTTTGATTTCAAAGTAACATATGCTTTCAACTTAAAGCGTGGCAATTCAAAGCTTGTAAACCATTATAGAACTGAATTTGCCTTATAACCGCCTTGTGGCGCTTCTGGTTTTTCACTGATTTTTGCGGGGCAGGCAAATTAGAGGACACAGCAAGCTTGTTTTTCCATGCTGGAATTGATTGGAAGTTAGATTCAACTCTAATGCCAAGCAGAAATGAACACACAATGCTAAGATCATTGCAGCTACTCTGGCTTCAATGAGCAGCAACAATTAGCAGCATGTTACAAAAGTCGAAAGTAGAGGACCCTGTTGACTGATTCAGACATCGCAGTTACAAGCACTCTTCAGCAAGGCAAGCACACAACTTGCTCAAGATATCAAACCTTGAAGCCAAAAAAGTGCACTACTACAGTCCTCCAGTCTCAAAAAACATGGCACGACATCGATCAGATCAGTCCTCAAGTCCTTCACAGATGATGGTTGCAGACTCTTGGCCTTTGGGGGATGCGGCTGCAGCTCTCGCTCGGCTCGATCTCCAGGCCTCTCCTGTTCCTTCTGCGAGCCTTGCATCTTGAGCCTTTGAGCCAGTTCCGCAGCGTCGTCCATCGTTCCAAACCGCCAAGCGAAATACACATGATCTGTCATGGGTGTCGTGTTTCTTGAGGGTGTAAGTAATTGCCCTTCCTTGGAAAGCTGTAAAGGAAAACCAAAGGGACATCGGAGCCCAAAGCAAGCACGCGTATCGCAAACCTGGCCAGCCGCACCTGCAACCAAGCCTCAGTTGAGAGATCTCTTGGGCCATCCCAATATCTCGTGCCACCAGAAATAGACACAAAACATCATTTTGAATTCCCAATCATTTTAAAGGTCGTTTGTGCCCTTTGTCGCAATGCAGTGCCAAGCATAGCAAGCAACCAGCCAAACAGCTGCTCGCTGGGAAAGCGAAGCGAATAGGGAACAACTCCCGAAATTGAAAAAAATGGAAAGAACAAGCAAACATTAAAAACAAGGGGAGTTCCTTTTCGAGCATCCCTCTAAAAGGACGGCCCAAAAGGGAGGCACACCATTTTGAGACAAACCCGATTCGAGTATGTCCCACTAACTAAGGCGGTGGCACAGAAGACGAGGAGCAATGTCACCTTAGTCTCCGCATGCGACCCAATTTGTGCATTGCGCGCAACTCTCTTCCCGGATTGGCCAAAAAAAGTCCAAAGCTTCAAAAAACCAGTAAAATTGTCTTCCGAATAAGCTTTAAGTCCAGGAAATCGGGGAGTGAGGCAATCCAGGTGTGAGAGGAAGGCTAGAATACTAGTACATGAAGGGAAACCAAAGACAACTGCCAGTCTATGCTTTCGGTTGGTTATCTTTTGGCTTGGAACATCCTTGTCTTAGGGTGGCCCTAATAGAGATTCAACATGGAGGTGGAATTCCAGCTGGTGCAGCTGAGCTGGATGAGACTTGCAGTATTTTGGAGAGGCGTCCTCCTATGAAGAACGTTCTTCGTGTGATTGTGCAGAGTGAAGCAAGTGTGAGAAGGCCGGAGCGTGAACATGCAGCGCTGCAGCACAGGGAGGAAGCCAAACTATTATCTTTACTTTTTTTTGGGGGGGAAGGAGGCCTTACGGCAAGGCCTAGGTAACCCAAACCTTCCGCTGGGTCAAGGCTCTGACGCGCCGCACTGCCCAGCGAGCATGCCGACCTGCTCTCAAGCTCTGCGATGAACCAAGGTAGCAGCACAGTCGAGACCTATTTCTTGGGACTTATTTACAGAAAACTTACACCGCGCATCGCATGCACAAGTCAACTTTCATGAAGCCGCCCGCTTCCATCCAGCAACTCAATTGGGCAGTCTGAGTCCATGATCGCAGCACTGATCACTAATCAATCTGGGCGTGAGTTGCACCTCTGCCGAATCCCCACAAACGGTCGCAATGCCGAGCAGAGACTTCAGATTCAGACCCACCTCGCCGTCATAGAAAGGTTCATAAGCTGCTAGAAAGCAACGTTCTCTGCGCGAGCTCCCTTTGCAAGTTCTCTAGTCTCAATCTCCCTCTCTCTGACATGCTGGATCCCAAGTTCTGTCTGCATTGCGCAACAATCACCCCGGGGCTTGTTATGGGACTTGAGATCTTTTGGCTTTTGTGCGTAGCCTTTCAGGGTCCAACATCGGACCTCTCAAATTGACAGCTCCGATTCAGCCCCGCCTCCTCTCATCTTCTCATCTGCTGTCCATCGCTTTGAGCCAGTGCGGTGCGCATTGCCGGTCAAACTGAGCTAACCAACTGTCAATCCCCTCTCTTCTGGGATCATTATTTTGACTCGTTCTGGAGGGTAATCCTCAAAATCAGAAGATGAGGTTGTTTCCCCTTGACCTAGCACTTAGGGCCTCGGGGGTGACTTTGATCACGGCAAAATCATGGGCCCGCGTAATTGAAGGTTCTCATGCAGGCATGGCTCACAACTCGTCCACCGTCTCCGAGACGGCGACAGGACACGGGGGCAACCCATCATCCATCGTCAAGAATCAAAGTGGCGGCTTGTGCCGCACTCATTTGATGACAGAAGGTTTCTACGCGTCAAGCTGTCTAAGTTCCTTTTAACATGTGCCTTTGAGGTGACACCAACTTTTGGATACTTGAATCAAAGGGAAACTTTGGCTCCCCCCCTGAAGGGAAGCTTTGGTCCCTCCCTCCCCTGGACCAAACAGATCCGTTTTCTTTTGGATACTTGAAGCAAAACCAGAAGGAGGCCGTCGCCCTGGCCCAATCCAATGCAGGGCTTCGCACCCAACGGGGCTTTGACACCTCCTGGCACCGCGCGTTGTCACTCCACCCAAGAAGGGGGTCCCCCGTTCACTGTGGGTCCAAAAGCAAGTGACATCCTCAAATAATGATCCTCCAAGGCTTCACGGGAAATCAAGGGTCCACATCCTCAAATCATGATCCTCCCAAAGGCTTTACAGGAAACCAAGCTTGTACGTTCACTAGGGACGGGTGGATAAGACCAGCCCTAGGGTTCCCAAAATGGCAATTTGGACTTAGGGGGTCACACAAGGGTTCCAGCCAGCAAAAACGCGCTCCTACGTTGAGTTGCACGAAAGGGGCATGGTCTTTGTTCAGGCGAACTGCAACAAGCATGGTGAAGCTGGCAGGGTGTGTCCCATTTACAACAAACAGGATGCTCTGAAAGACCATCACCCCGATGGATTCCGGGAATTTGCATACTAAATACCCTTCAGTATTCGGATGCCTGGTCATGAGGCTTGCTAGGGAAGGCCGCTAGGCCCAGATGCGGGGGCATGAATGAGTTTCAGCCATGCCTACAAAGACTTGGCCATTGTGAGTTGAGCGAGTTGGGTGGAGTACCTGCGAGTTTGTTGAACTAAGGTGTTCTAGACAGTTCGAAAGTTTTTTGCAAGTGTAAGTTTGCTGCAAGCACAGGGAGTGAGCGCTTAGCAAGAGAATAACTCTTGCACGGGCGAGTTTGTTCCGAACCCAGAATCACCTTCCCCCCAAGGGTCGCCGTTATACAGGGGCTGTCTTCCCAAGCTTGGTTTCAAAAGGCATTGGGGTTCAACTCCCCAAACCACCACTAAGGGCCAAAGAGATTTTAGCCTTTGCGCAGGAAATGACCCTTCTCCCGAGCGGCTTGTTTCAGTTTAAGCCAGCAGCCATGCGTGGCTACACCTAACACAAAATTAGCTAGGCGTGCGTTTTCACGGAAACAAACCTTTGCCGTCCAAGCTGGTTTACCTCGCAAGAAACACATGTTCTGCATCCCACCGTTAGCTTCCTCAGTGAAAGACAAAAGGTCCCGTGCAGCCCCTTCCAACAGCTAGTTTTCCCTTGAACAATAACACGTTTTTGTTGTTTCCTTCCAAGGCAGGGGAGGGTTGGCAGCACCTCAGCCATCCTGGGACAAGGTTTGCCCAAACTTCATGACAAACATTTGAACCTCAAGTTCCGAAACTCTTGTTCCGACATCTCACTAGGCCCTAGGAACTCATTTGGCCAAAGGATGTTTTGCAAGGGCTCCCTTAGCCACAGGTCGGGTTGCGTCCTTCCCTGAAGTTGGTTCGTGTGGAAGATGCGGGTTTGTGTCGAAATGGGTTCTTGGCTTTCGAAACAAGCCAAAAGAGAGTGTCCTCAGAAAGCCACCTAATATGCTGAAGCAAAATAACATGTGGGACGTAGCACCAGAAGCAAAACCATGCCAACCTGCCTTCGACTGCTTGTTCTTTTGTCGTTCACGTCGTCTCGCTGCTGCCCGCGCTCGCATCTCCTTTCACACCGCTAGGACTTTCTGCAAAGCCAACCCATCGAAATGCGTGACTTGACTTTTGCGACATGATGCCAACATGGGCTGCACCTCCTCGATCCCTCATGTGTGCCTGACAGCTCTCTTTGCCGCCCAATCACCATAAATCCGTGAAGACGTCACGCTACGTACATCCGTAAGCTGCATAATGTCTCTGACAGGCACAGCAGGAACCTGTCCAATCAGGCGGTGGAATCCATGTGTTTCATACTTAGCTGCCTGCAGCAGTCTGTCCTCCTGTTGCCGTAGCTCTTGCCTCTCTATTTCCTGCTCAGAGAGCAAGCAGCACGTGCTCAAATATTTGGGTTTGCCTCAAAGTCAAGGAAGAACACTGACGGCTTCAGCTTCCCTTTGGCTTTCTTTCAAAACACGCACACCTAGGGCCCACAACTCAGAGAAAACAAACCCATGTCATTGATCCATTGTGGCGCCATGTTGAATTGTGGACGATGGGCGTCCACAGGCTTGGTCAACGGCTGACTCTTGCATGCCTTCTCAGCATGATCTTCCCTTGCAAATCCATTCAGTGTCAGGCAACTCAGCAAGGCCTTGCAACTATGTTTTGTTAAACTCCTTCCAAATTTGTGAGAAGCCCTCTGACTCAGCTTGATCCTGCGTGCTGCTGGTCAGACCATCTTTCCAGGACTTCATGAAAGCTTGGCGCTGCGAGCTGAAGTCTACCTCCTGCACAACCTGCGCCGCGTGAGACACCCCCCTTTTGTTGCAAGTGGGGGGTTCTTTCAAAGGCGCCTTGCCAAGTCATCAAAAGGGGATCTGGCCCCCGTTTCAAGCGGCACAAAGGAAAGAACTCAGGAGAAGGTCTTGGGTGCCTTTCCTGAGTCTCTTTTCTGAGCCATGCAACAGTGTGAGCAGAACAAAATGGCCTACGTGGGGGGGAGGTGGGGGGTGCAAAGGCGTATCATTGATGCTGATCCCTGACTCAAAGCAGAAGAGCAGGTGCCAAAGCAAAACGACAAGACACATACAAAAAAGAATGGGTGGCAGCAGAATTTGGCAGAAGAGCCTCATTGATATGCGTGCTGCCCATCACAAGTGGCACTGCAATACAAACATCGTGACTTGCTTATCTTTGTGCCTTAGCACTTGTATGCCTCACGTATCGATAACACGCAAGCTGTGTGTGTGTGTGTGTGCGCACATAAACTGGAGTTTTATCAGCCTGAAGCCAGCTCATAGTTTGTCTGAAAGCTTCATCCCTCCATGCACACGGTCACCAGGAGGCAACTGAAAGCCCATTCAAACACAGCGCTCAGGGCCCTTGGTATCTCTGTTAAAAGGCGGCCTAAGGCCATACTTTTGACTTGGGTGACCCTAAACGGGTTCTAACTTATGGGCTCCTTTCACATGTACACATGATTGATCCTTGCCAGCGATTGAAACCCTTGGAGCCCCCCATCGTCGAACAGGGATCCTTACATTATACACCAGAACTTTGCAACTTGTTAATGGTGGGTTCCCTTTATTTTGGTGTTGAAAAAGCAACATGTTTCAAATGGTTGCAAAATGAATTTATTTTAATGATCTCCTGTCGAACTGCGGCGCCTGTGCTGCCCTCTCTGCCGCGCCACCCATTCGTTCCAAATGCTCCACGGTCTGAGCCCCATCCTGACACGGTGTGCCCCCCGCGCTTTTTGTGTGGTCGAAACGGATTTTGTGGGTCATGACGTGGCTCCCTAGGAACCCCTCACCTTGGCTGTCTGAAGCCCCCTAACCAAGAGCTTGCTGACCCTCCAAAGCATTGCTTTAGCACATGCGTCTGCAAACTGCAAATTGTGTGGTCAATAGTGCACGCCTAGGAGCAAATTTCACATTGGGAGTCTTTGGTATACATCGCGGATTGATGTTCATACCACCAACCATGTTTGAGGGGGAGTTCCTTTGAACAATCATAGCCACAACGCGGGAGAGACACGAGCACCAGGTCTGTCCTCTGCACTGTGCAGCTCTTGTGGTAAGAGCTGGCGCCACCTGCGAAGTGAGCTCTGTTTCCAGAAAGCCATGGCCTTTGGCAAAAGCTTCTTAGAATCTTCTTGAAAGGGCTTCTGACCGAAGGGTTCTGTTTCTGGTGGCGATGTGGCCCCGATCTATCTCCTGACCGTTAAATCCGGCGAAAAATACCCTGAACAAGACGGATGGTGGCCAGCCAGAAGGTTCGGAAGCGGAACAACTAGGGTTTTTTGACCAGGGTCGGGCGATTCAACCCCTTTGAACATGGTTCAACGCCCCTTGTTTGGACAGCCACAGTTGCGTTCTTCCTGAACGGGGCCAGTATTGAGCTGTTAAACCACTTGTTGCCAAACTGTTGCTTACCCTGGTTCTGACAGGGTGGCCAAAGAAACCAGCCACTGGGGAAGAGCAAGAAGCAAAGGCAAATTCTTTGAGTTGGCTCCCACAGTTTCCTATGAGAACTTCTAATCCCAACCCTAAGGCTGACGCTGGATTCGGAAGGGACCCAGAAATGCTTTAGAGGAGCTGGGAGTTTACGGGAGCTGAGGGTCACAAATGGTAACATGATGGCTCACAGCCCGACTGGTGTCTCCATCCCCAATCGCGTTCTTCTGCAGCCACGTGTGATGGATGAATCCCAGGTTCCTTTTGAGTACGGCTTGCATCAGGATTGGGCAACAATTGCTCACCAATCAATTGTCTCCTGGTCCTCTAAAAAGAAAAACGATACACAATGGACTCTCTGTTCAAACAATCTTGAAGCAGAGGCCTGGCCGAACCATTTCTGGGCATCAACCAGCAAGCATAGGCTTGGGACTAGGAGTTCAGGGTCACCTCTTATGATCACATTGCGAACATGCCACACCTAGAGGAGGCTCGCTATTGTGTGTTGTTATTGCCTTCTGCATCGTAAGTATGTATGTAAGTAGGTATGTACGCATGCATGCATGTATGTATGTATACATACATGTATGAACGCATGTATGTATGCATGGGTGTACGAACGTATGTATCTATGTATCTATGTATCTATGTATGTATCTACGAACGTATGTTTCTATGTATCTATGTATCTATGTATGTATGTACGAACGTATGTTTCTATGTATCTATGTATCTATGTATCTATGTATCTATGTATGTATGCATGTATGTA